GGAAGAAATAAAGGTAAACTTAAAAATAATAATAAATATTATTCATTTAGGGTTGTTTGAAGGCACAGTAGATAGGCTATTGGGCCTAGAGTCAGGAAGACCTGAGTTCAAATTTGGCTTCACATATGTTCGAGCTGTGTGACCTTGGGCAAGTCACTTAGCCTGTTTGCCTCAATTTCCTTATCTGTAAAATGGGGATTATAAATGAGTTAATAATTGTAAAGTACTTAGAACTGATGCACAAAGTAAGTGCTGTAAATGTCAGCTGTTATTATTATTAATAATACCACCCTGGGTTTGAATAATACTTTAGTTTTCAATGTGTTTTCACATATGCTATTGGTATCTGTGTCAAGTAGGTAGGACAGGTATTATTATTCTCATTTAAGAAAAGGTCCCTTCCCCTCTAAATCATAGCCCAATAAGGAAAATGAAATTCAAAGAAGTGAAGGGATTTGCCTAAAGTCATTAACAAAATTCATGGAAGTGAAAAGATTTGCCCAAAGTCATTAACAATGACTCAGTGGCAGAACGGGCTAGGCTAGAATCTAAGTCTCCTGACTATCAGGGCTCCCTTTCCCCACAGGCTACAGTGCTTCTCAATGAATGAAGGAATAAAATAAATAAATAAATAAAAATGCATGTACGAAGTGTTTACTTCATGTGAAGTGCTGAGCTAAATGCTGGGGAAATAAATCAAGGAACAATTTGTGCATTGATGAAATGGAGACATCAAAGCACAGCGGAAAGAAGTTGAGACTAGCAGATACATGAAAGCTGGGTGAAAGCCCCAGGACTGTCGGTAATCAGCTGGGTGATGCTGGGAAACTCTTGGCCACTCAATTTCCTCAGAGATAAAAGGGCAACAGAATAATTCAAAGGTCCCTTCAGGTGACAAAGTGAGCCCAAGCATTTCATTGCTGCTATCTTTTGAGTTCAGCCTCCAGCAGTGCTTGCCTTCACCGGTGTCTGCCTCTGGATCTTTCCTGTTGTCTGTATCTCCTAGGACTACAACAAATTCATATTTGAAGTTTGATTGGAATTTTACTGCCCAGCAATTATTTTGTTCAATGCTTGTGGCTGTTTTAAACCAGTAGGTCATGACCCACAGTTTAAGAAGCACTGAAGGGACCAAGAGTGAAAAAAGTTTAAGAAGCCCTGTTCTAACCCCTTATACCCTTTGATCCCCTTAATCCACCAACCCCTCCTCATTCCTGGTATGTCACCTCTGGCCCTCTGCATGAGTCTCTCTACAGAAATGCACAAAGGGGAGCCTAAGGGAAAGGCCTGGGAGATTCCATTTCTGTTATTCTGCCTGATTTGTTTCCTACGTCTTTAGGGAAGGGCTTGGTTTTTACTGCCACTTTAGCAATATAGAGACCTCTGCTTCACCCAGAAAGAACCAAAGGATTGGGCAACTCAAGTTCTCATCTCATAGCTCAGGGCAGGGATCCCAGAGAAGCAAAGAATCCTGCCCAAAGCCACACGGTCTATCAAGACCATGGGCTGAGCCAGGACTAGAAACCAAATGGCCTATGGCCCATCCCTGAACTCTCCCACCTCTCTTTGTCATAGCATACTCCTTCTGCAACATTACCTTCTGGGTTCTTCAAAATACCTTAATAAAAAGTATGCTGGAAAGGCAAAGAGGGATGAGGTTCATGCCAGGGCCACGCTCCAGCCTGACTCACTCATCCACTGGTTCTTGTGTCCAAGGGCTCTGAAATCATTGGTCAGGAAGTAGGTAGAGGCGGGGGGGAAGGGCAGGTTATCCCTAGCCTGGGAGAGAGGAGGGACATATGGACCTTAGGGTCCCAGAGAATACAGGGTGCCTAGAAATTTCCCCAATCTCTCAATCATACCTCACCACTGCCGTGAGACAGATTTTCTAGAGAGACTGTCGTTTCCTGCCCGTCCGGAGACCTAGTACTCCAACGCAGAGCACTGTGAGGGAACTTGAGAATTGGCTGGGGTTAGAAGGGGCAGAGAACAGAAGCTGAAGCTGAGGGAGTGGGACGAGAGAACAAAGAAACTAGCAGGGGTGCATTTTGAATAGGAGCCCTCAAGAAAACCTTTGCTGGTGATTCAGGAACCAGAGACATTGAGCAAATATGAACCCAGAGAGCTCTTACAGGGAGACAGGGTACATGAGTCATAGTCTTGACCCAGCTCTGAAATCTCTCTGGTTCTCTGCCACTCCTACTCCATCCTATCTTACCTCTTATAAGTCTTGTCCCACTCCCACCCACTAGGGTGCTGCCCATCTCATAGAGGGGGAAACTGATACTAATGAACAACCTCATCTGGCGGGGTGAGAAAGGCAAGATAGTAAGTCAGACAGCACTTATGGCCTGGGAGTCCTATATTCCTTTTCCTGAGCCCCCGCATGGAGCAACCTGGTTTACAATCCTAGAATATTAGTGCTTTACAATGACAAGAACTCAATCCTATCCTACCCAACAGGAAAGAATACGGAAGCCCAGAGTATTCAAGGGACTTGTCTAAATAGTTCCACAGTCAAGTAATGTCACAGCTAGGACTGGAACTCAGAGCCCCAACTTCCAAGGCCAATGTTTTTCCAGTGACAAAGGGAAAAGGTGAGTCTTTTCCTGTGGATGGCATTTTACAAGGAGAAGGCACAAATTTTATTTCCTTTGTCCCGGATGCATATAACCTGCAGAATTATCCTGGCCAAGTCTATTTAGAGAAAGGTTTCTCAACCTGGGGTCCACAGATGCTGTTCTCTCCCCTCTACCCCCATGGTCTATGGATAATTTGAGGGGGAAGTATCTGTGAACTTGAATGGGGAAAAATGTACATCTTTATTTTAATATAATTGGCTTCCTTCATCAACCTAGGTATTTTATCTTATACATTTAAAAACATAATTTTGAGAAGGGGTCCTTCCAACCAGACTGGAGATCTGGTGACCAAAGGTTTCTATGAAAAACATTAATAGTCCTCAATTAGAGGCCTAATTATTATTATTGTTAGATTATTACATTCTTATACATTATAATTATTAGATCAGTCATAAAAAGACTGGGGACAAATAGATGCTACAGTATCTTTGTATACTGTGACTCAGAGATAGGTTTAATTTATCATCCTGAAGCTTGACAAAGGAAGCTATTAAATCAATTTCCCAGCTTAAGTTTGGCTCCTATGTGACAGCTGCTGAAATCCCTTCCAAAATTCTGGGAGCTATTCAGAATGTGATGAGGCCAGCAGATGGGACTGGAAAGACAGTCCCCTCCAGGAACCTCCACTCCATCCCAGGGTTCCCTGTGAGGCACCAATGTTCTCTACAGATGGCAAGGCAAGACACTAGGCCAGGAACACATTGACAGACCTGGGTGGTGGTGGGGAAGCAAGAGAAACCAGGTGAGTAAGCAGGCTCCGTTGGCAGACAGGTTCTATGGTATCATCAACCAGCAGGGCCTGCCTCTGAGGTTTCTGTTCCCACAGCCTCCACCCTAGAAAGAGCCTTCTGCATACCTCTATGGCTACAAAAGAATCCATGCCTTCAGCCACTCTTGCCACACAAGGATTATCCTCCTTTGATGACATTTAGAGAGAATATCTCACTCAGAAGCTTACTGTGGCTCACTATTACCTCTTGGAGTCAATCCAAATTCAGAGCTTTCTTTCTTTATTTTGAAATCAGCTTCTTCCCTCAGATTTTCCACCAATCTTTTTCCTCATTTGGGCTTTGTGCTCAAGCTAGGTAAGCAGCACTTCATTTTGACTGAACTTTTGAATTAATCATTTCCTTCACCTGCAACCTTCTCCCTCATCTTCTTCCCTCAGCCCTATCTAATCACTTTTTCCAAACCTTCCAAGGAAGCATTGTGTAATAGAAATAAATGCATTAAGAGCCAAGAGAAAGACAGTAATTCTCATCATATCACCTAGAGCAATAAGGATCCCTGTGTCCTGCATATTGACTTTGAAAACCACATACTAACATTATCTATGTATTTATTGTGTTTATATTTATTTTGTTAAATATTTACCAATTATATTTTAACATGGTTCAGAAGTATGGTGGGCGGTATGCACATATCTGACACCTCTGATAGAACAAGAATTTGTTCTGACACTAACCAGTTGGGATCTCCTCCCCCCATTTAGTACTAAAACAAGGTCTCTTTCAGTTTCTGAAAATATTCAATCAGATTGACTAAAATTGCCCCCTACAAAAGTATCACATTTCTTACACTACAGACTTACATTGGCAATACATGCTAAGTAATCCATAAATAACAGTAAACATCCTAATATAAAAAGAAATGACTGACTGGTGATGTTTTCTTCAGGGGAGGACATCACTTACAGCCTCCCTCACTGGACTTAACACAATCTTCATTGTACATAGTTATTTGTTTACCTATTTTACTACTCTACTAGATTGTAAGCTCTAGGAAGGCTGGGGGGGCAGCTAGGTAGCACCGTAGTGCATGGAGCCTTGAAGTCAGGAAGACTCATCTTCCTGAGTTCAAATCTGGCCTCAGACACTCAGTAACTATGTGACTCTTGCCTCTACACTTTCCTCTAGGCTATGCTGGAGTCCCAGAATGTGCCCTGCAAGATGTCTCTTCATCCTTCTCATAGTTTCTGAATGCTCCCCTCTTCTTGGAAGCCTTCCCAGGTTGACTGATAGCTTCGGGAAAGGCTCCATCCAGATGACTTCTCTGGCCATCCCACCCATCATTCCAATGACACATTTAATTGTCCTCCATTCTCACCCTTGCTCACCTTGATTTAATATTTCTGCTGCTTATTCCTTTCACTTCTCTTGTACCTATCTTATAGACTACATCTGCCACTTACAGGTACACGATGAATAATCTTGAAGGGAGGAAGAGGAGGATAATTCATCATCGCCCTGGTGATGATTATGGAGGAAGAAACTGAGCAAGTGTCAACCAGAAGACAAGAGAAGCTAAAACCCAGGCTGCATGGGCCCCCGTACCCTTTGGGGGCTTGGGCAGACTCACCATTGTAAACACGATTGCTCCCAGCACAGCATAGATCCCATGAAGCCAAGGTACCTGCCGGGACAGAGATACAAACTGATGATACAGACTCAAATTACCTTGTATTTACTTATCTGTGTACACACTGAATCCTCCTAGGAGAAAGTAAACTCCTCCATGGAAGGGATAGAATCATTTTTGGCTTCGTATCCCTAGGCTCTGGCACAGTACATTACACTCAGCAAACACTTAATAAATGTATAATTAAATGACTCTGGAGAAAAGGTGAGGAGTAGGGTTGGCTGGAGGGAGCAGGGTGAACAGACAAAGAGAGGATAACAGAGCCTCAGAAATGGAAGGGCCCTCACATATCATCTAGTCTAATGCCTGGGGTAGAACTCCCTCTTCAACATCCTACATAAGTGTTTTCTAGCCTCTACTGGAAGTGATAGAGAATTCACTATTTCTTGAAGTAATCCATTCTCCTTCCAGACAGCTCTAATTAACTAAGTGGCATAATGGAGAGATCACCTGGCCTGAAGTCATGAAACCATGAATTCAAATCCAGCCTCAGATACTTACTAGCTGTGTGTCCCTAGGCAAGTCATTTTATCTCTGTTTGCCTCAGTTTCCTCAGCTGGAAAATAGAGACAATAATAGCATCTACCTTCCAGGGTTATTGTGAGGATCAAATGAGATAATATTGGTAAAGTACTTAGCACAGTGCCTGGCACATAGTAGGTGCTATACAAATGTTTGTTTCCTTCTCTTTTGCTTCTTTTCTCCCACCCAGGTGCACTCCTTTGAACTTCTCCATGCCTTGTCTCTGACTACCCTTCCTTCTACTCTTTTTTAAAATATTATTGTTGTTTTTGCTTAAGCTGGGAGGAGAACTCAGATCCTTTGACTTTTTTTTGGTGAGGCAATTGGGGTTAAGTGACTTGCCCAGGGTCACACAGCTAGTAAGTGCCAAGTGTCTGAGGCTGGATTTGGACTCAGGTCCTCCTGACTCCAGGGCCGGTGCTCTATCCACTGCACCACCTAGCTGTCCCTTCTTCCATATTTGTATCCCCAGAGCTTAGCTCGGTGTCTGGTACCTAGCTGGTACTAAATAAATGTTTATTAACTGACTCTAACTGTTAGGAGGTTCCCCCTGCCCCATTTATGTTGAACTAGAATCCCCCTGTCTGTAACTTCCACTAGGAAGCAGAAACAGCAAATAGTCTGTTCTTGGTTATCTAAGGTTTTTTTGCATAGGTGATTGAAATGGTCAAAATTCTTGCCTTTCCCAAAGATGAAGCCACTAGAAAAGACCTATTATCTCCTCAGTCTCCCTGCTGCCCAATATGGGTCCGAGAGAAGTAATCAAGAGAAGTGAAGGGTCTGAATTATACACATTTGGGTTCATTGTCCCCTGGAAAATGGAGAATCAGCTGCCTTGGGATCTTCTGATGAGTCTGATTTCTTTCAACATGCAACTCCAGAATCCGGCTGCATTTGTCAGTATTGTGTATTTGACATACACAATTCAAACTCTCGCTTTCCACACAACATGCAGTTTCCATCTCTTCCCTCTCCCATCTCCAAATTTTTCCATGAACCTGTCCCCCAGCCTGGGATGATGTGTTCCCTCTTTCTTTTCCAAATCTTGCTTCACACTTCCCCTCAGTTAGTTAGCAATAAGCAACCTTAGCTTCCATTCCTGGAAGCCTTTCCAGATTAATTCTAATTGTTTTCCCTCCTCATAGTCTTTCTGCTTGATTATAAAGCTCACATTTATTTCTCTGTGTCTGTTTTCGCTGAGGGTGACATTGTCTTCATCAGACTTGGGAGTTCCCAGATGGCAAATACTGGGCATCCTCTCCCTCTGGTGCTCTCTCTCTCCATTGACAGTGGAGAGAGGAGTGGGAAGGGGAGAATGGGCTGGAAAAGGGGCTTAGAGAATAGGAGGGAGGGGATGATCTCTGAAGGTCCTTGCTAGACAACTTTAAGAGATTAGGACTGCCTGGCATGAAGTCTTCCTACTCAACTGCTCAGTTGAAAGCGATGGTTACTTCTCATTTCTTATAGAGTTAGACCCCTCTTTTGTCCTTATCACATTCTACATTGTATCTAACTTATTTGTATATAGGTCTTCTCCCCTTTTCATCTTCGTATCATCAGTGCTGAGCACACCCTGAACAAAACAGAAACTTAATAAAGCTTCCATGACTTAAATAGAACGAAGAAGTAGAACCTAATGCAGTCAAGATTATGGATTTAGAACTAGATTTAGAGATCAACTGATCTACCCTTCATTTTATGGATGAGGAAACTGAGGTTGTGACTCTCCCACTGTTATATGTACGGTAAGTGTCAGAGCAGGGATTGAAATCCAGGTTTTCTGATGCTGAATTGAATGCCATTTGCTCCCTTCTAATTATCTTCCCCCCCAGGGAATCTAAGTGTAGGGAATATTCTGCAGGACTGCATTCCTCTCATCTCCTTCCTGCTACCATCCCAGGCTCCCTACCACTTAACACTTCCTAAGGCGGGCAATATCCATCCCCCTACTGGAATCCAGCCTGCCTTCAATGTCACATATGCCTCACCCTCCTCAAGGCCCTGGCTATACAGATTCTTGGAAACACAAAAGACTTGCTTGACCAATTCAGGTCAACAATGGACTCCTTGATGCTATGGGGGCCCCTTCCTGTCACTCCCGCCCCATTTCCCTCAGGTGCCCCAGTCTAGCTCCAGCCCCTCCCTTGATCAACAGGATCCAGGCAACTGCCAAGAAAATACTGGGGGCTCTGAGTTGAAGCCACCTCTGATCCGGGGGATGTGGCAGCAAGGGACAGGGTTAGTGTTCTAACTAGACTCCCCCCACCCTTTGATCTTTCCTATTGATGCCTCCCCTTCTCTCCCAACCTTGCTGGTGGTGGTGGGATCACATCCATGTTTGGGTATTTGGCTAGAGGTCAGGGGAGAAGGATGCTGTGACTGCTGCCAATGTGGCCTCTCCCCACAGTTCCTGGTGCCAAAGCTGAAGAGCGGCCAAGTGTGGGATGGGGGAGGGGAAAGCAAAGGAGATAGAGACACCTATGTGGAGCTTTCTAGCCCAATATCCTGGGGGCAATGGTATTCGAACCCCAAGCTATACCTCACTTTCCTAAACCTATTCTTTCCTCTTCCTGCTCCACAACAACAGCCATGGAGCGTCACTACATCTCTTCCCTTGCTCTGACTCAACTCTCTTCAGTGGCAGTTTTATTCTAAAAGGCTGAGGATTTCATAGTCCCAGCAGGTGGATTCCCACTCCCACTCCCCAAACCCAAACAAACAACCAAGCCTTTTGTACTAGCTCTTACACAGATATTCCAACCCTTATTCGATGTCTGTTTGACCTCCAGGTGACCCCTGAGCCTCCCATTTAGAGCATCTCTAATCAATGCCAGTCTGGCCTTCCAGATGACCACCCCCCCCCCAGCCCCATCTACCCTCACTGTGGTTTCAATTTTTCTCCTCCCCTCAGCCCTCCATGCATGACAAACATGAAACCGGATGTCAGCTGAGGAGTCAGGCAGGTGCCCGTACCTGCCAAAGAAAAGCCACCTTGTTTGCCCATGGTCTTTAGCTTCCAGTCCTGCCAGTACACATGGTATTCACTGCCAAGCCCAGGGTAGGGCTGCTGGGTGATGACACAACTACCTCCTAACTAGTCTAACTGTCACCGCCATCTGGTCTTCCCTCCCCCCACAACTCCTTGTTCCCAGTGCCTGCCCTCAGTGTCCCTAACCTGGGTTTAGCTGTCCAACATCCTTGCCTGGAGGCCAGGGGAAAAGCAGGCACATACAGACCCCCAGCAGGGACCTGCCTGGCTTGTTGTTGGCTTGAAGCCCTCGGGGATAGGAGGGGAATAGAAGGGGAGAGAGAGGGGCGGAGAAAGCCTGGGCAGGGATGTGAGGATGGGGGTTTGTGGAGGGGGGAGGTGACTCACATATTGGAAGGGAAGGATGATGGCCAGAAGGATCCCACTGAAGAACATAACCATGAGAAGCACAAAGAGGATGCCTTGGCAGGATGTGAAGTCAAACTGTGGGAGAGAGAAGCCAATAGAGGGGCATCAGTTGGGAGGACCTCTTACTTCTATGATCAACAGCCTCTGTCCACCTTCCAAATCTTGCTTGATACTGCCCTTTTCTCTTCTCCTTCCTCCACCCAGCTGTGGAGTTTTACTCATTCTCTGGATGTGGACTCCAGATCACCCCTTCCCCCGATCTCTCATTTCCAGATAGCCCCAACCCTGCTGATTCCCACCCAGCCTGTGGTCTCCCTTCCCCCACCCACTTGGGGTCCTTTGACTAACCTTGGTCTGGAAGCTGAACAAAGTCACGGAGAGGCAGACCAGGGCAGTGATTCCCAGACACAGAAGCACGGACTTGGTATTGTAGTAACTGTGGAGAAAAAATCTCTGTCAGCTGAGCAGGTAGGACCTGGAACCTAGGACTAGGTTGTCTGGTTTGGGATCTCATGGAATGGAGCTCACCTGCATCCCACTGATCCCTACCTTTCTCCTTTGTTAGAATCAAAGAGCCCCTTTACTCCTGAGCAGAGCCTGGAAATCTTTTCTTACCTTGGGCTACCCACTTCCTCCCTCAGTAGGGAGGACAGGATTATCAAGATGTTTTTAGGGCTCAGTTTCCCCAGGGAAGTTCCTAGGAAGTACAGCTGAGGGCAAATCACCCCCTGTGTCTAACCATCAGACATCTACATTTTTGAACATGGGTAAAAAAAGTTGATGAAAGCGACTTTTAAGGAGCATTCTTGTAAGGAGTCACAAAGGGGCGAGGTATAGCCTAAGAGAGGGTGTACACCACTATTTGTGTGTGTGTGTGTGTGTGTGTGTGTGTGTGTGTGTGTGTGTGTGTGTGTGTAATTTTGCCTTGGTGGTATTAGGAAGTTTAGGAAATATGAGCTACTTGGTGGGGAGACATGGAACTGATTAGATTTGGCTCTGGCTGCCCTCTCCCCTCTTAGAAAGAAGGATTGATGCAGCCAGTTGTAAATTGACAATTCAGTCTAGAAAAGGTAGGCCAGGTTCCTCTATTTCCCAGAATTCCAGTTCTACTATCTCCCACCTCTTCCCTTTTCATTACCTGGACAACATCCCAGTGAGGTAGGCCATAGACAGGGTCTGCAACAAGAAATAAATTAGAAGGGAGAGCCACCAGAGCTCAGCTTTTTGGGACACAAATTCATTTTATCTGAGTCATATCACTCATGGTGTCACTTGTGTTTTGTCCCTCACTCTTTCCTCCCACTGACATTACTGTCCCCACCCCCTATTCTCATTCCCTAGTCCCCAGGAGGGATGGATGTCATCAGTCTCTGACCTAGGCCAGGTCCTAATCCTGGCAGCTTCACTCAATGGTCTGGGAATTGACTTATCCAGTTAAAAGGTCCAATACAACCCTGGTCATCCCCACTACAGGTAAGGTGTGGAAGACAGAGACATCAATCCTATATAAAAACTGCCCCAGGAAACAGGTCGAAAACTACCCTAACCTCCAGGAACTGATATCATTTGCCTAGGTGTTTTCTTCTTATTATCATCTTGTCTCTACTTCCCAGCCCATCCCTAACTTAAATCTCTGCTCCTCACCCCCACCCCAAGACCCTATCCCTCTCTTTACCACACCTACCCTAAACACAAAGTCCCTCTTGAAATTATTTTTATAAACCACTGGATTATGGATTGGAAGAGAGGCACAAAGACCTGTGTGTATGTGTATTCATGTGTATGTGGGGCAGGGAATGGTAGGAACTGTGCCTTTTTTTTAAAGGAGAATTGAGATAGCAATGGCTCTGTCTGTCCCCAAAAACATCATAAAGGACACCCCCAATCTAAAGGCCCCTTGAAGTCTCAACCCATTCCCCTAAGTGGAAATGCTCTGGTCCTGATGGTATCCTGCCTCTAAGTTTTAGACTCTCAAACCTCAGAGAGATGGGAGGACCATGCCCATATCTCAGATCTGCTCAGCCCTTGTCCCAGCCCACCCTCAGCCCCTGCTTCCTCACTTACAAAGATGCTCAGGAGAATCAGGTTCCAGGGGAAATATCTCCTGTAATCCAAATCATAGAGATCAGAGGTAGGCCCATGAATCCCCTAGAGCCCCTTTCACTTTCTTTCTTCTCATTCACATCTCAACTCTTTACAACCTGGCTCCTAACTCATCACTGAACTGGTCACTTTCAGAAATCTTTTAAAAATGTTATGCTGAGCTTGATAATACCAACAAATATGAACATTTCTATATGTAAAGAAGAAAAGAAAAAACTACATATGAAACTGCAAAGCTCTATTTTAGACAGCTTGCTTTTTAAAGAGTTTACAGTAACTTCAACTCTTGAGTTTCAAAGTTGTCCTGCTTGTCTGCCTCCCTCTGAACTTCCTTCTACATCTTTTATACATTTTAAAAATGCTTCAATGACCTCTTTTTCTCTTTTTCTGGAATCATTATCATTACCTTTCTATTCCATTTAAGTCCCCCACCCCAATTTTAAAATGAAAACCCTCTCTTGTAATGAATAAACAGAGTCAAGCCAAACAAACCCCCACATTGGTGATGCTTGCAAATGTGTCTGATGCTACACCTCTAATCCATCATCTCTCAATCAGGAGGTGAATGGCATGCTTCATCATTGGTCCTCCAGAGTTAAGGTTAGTCAAGGTATTGATTAAAGTCCAACAATCTCTCAGTTGCCATTTCTTTTCTCAGTTCTTATTCTTGTAGACCTTTCTGCAGCTTTTGAGTATCGACCACCTCTCTCCTTCTAAATATTCTTTTCTCTGGGTTTTTGAGACACTGCACTCACTTGGTTTTCTTCCTACCTGTATGACTACTCTTTCTCAGTCTTTTTTGCTGGAGCAACACTCGTACCACATTCTCCAATTGTGTATACCCCAATGCTATATCCTGGTCTTCTCTTCCATATCTATACATTCTCACCTAGTGATCTTAACAGTTTCTATGAGTTCAGTTATCATCTATCCCTATACAGATGACTCTCCTATCTCTCTCTCTCTCTCTTTCTCTATCCATCTGTCCATCCATTCATCTATCTATCTATCTATCTATCTATCTATCTATCTATCTATCTATCTATCTATCCAGCTATCTAACTACCTAGCTATCTCCCTGGTCTTTACTTTGCTCTCCAGTCTCACATCACCAACTGCCTGTTGGATATTTCCAATCAGATGTCCTGTAGGCATCTCATATTCAACATGGTAAAAATTGAACTTAGTCTCTTTCCTTTCAAACCCATTCCTCTTCCTGACTTTTCTATTTCTGTCAAGGGCACCAACATTCTTCCAGGCCCCCAGTTTCACAACTTTGGCTTCTTATTATCCTTGACTTCTCATTCTCATTCTTCTTCATTCCACATATCTATTCAGTTACCAAATCTTTTCATTTTTACCTTGCTAACATCTGGTATCTTCCCCCTTCTTTCCACTCACATAACCACCATCCCTAATTCATGTCCTCATCACTCTCCCATGGACTACTGTAAGAACCTCCTAATTTGTCTCCTGTCTCAAATCTCTCCTTTCTCCAACCCATTCTCCACATAGGTAACTGCCAAAGTGATCTCCCTAAATAATGCACATGTCACTCCCCTATTTGGTAAACTCTAGTTGCCACCTTTGTCTCTAGGATCAGTTATGAACTCCTCTGGCATTTAAATCCCTTCCCAACCTAGTCACAACCTACCTTTTCAACCGTATTACATATTACTGCCCTTCACTCACTCTGTGGTCCAACCAAACTGGCTTTCTTATTCTTCACATGTGAAATTCCATCTCCCATCTCCACAGCTGTCTCTCATGCCTAGAGTTAACTCCCTTCTCACCTCTGCCTTTTATAATCCATTATTTTTTTTAAAACTCAAGTGCCACCTTATAAAGAAAAATTTTCTGACCTCCTAGCTGCTAGTGCTTTCCCCCAATGCCTTTTATTTTGTATATACCACATATATATGCATAATACATATGTTTACATACAACATATATGTGTGTGCGTATATGATATCTTCCCCTATATAAGGTAGGCTCTCTGAAGGCATAGACTATTTCATTTTTGTTATGATATCCCCAGTAACCCAGTTTCTGGCACCCAGTAGGTGTTTTATAAATGACTGTTGACTGAGTAATTATACTAGAGGGCTAGATCCCTCCTGCTTCCTTAACTATCACACCATTTCTGAAGACTTCCCCCCATTCTCAAGTCTATATAAAGTCAGTACACAAGAAGATCTTGATGGAGATACAGAACAACTGGATCTTCAAAGGGCTGTGCAGAACATGGGTCCCTAGGGTTCCAAATCCCAATTTCCTGCCTCACATCTTGTTTTTCTTCCCAATCTGGCTGCCCCTTAAATGAACATACCTTGGTCCAGAACAGCAGGCCAGAATTAGATAAGTCATGAAGAAAACAGCACTGAGGGAAGGAGAAGATGCATACCATTAGCCATCTAGTACCCAGAGCCAGGAGAGTGAGGAACTGTCTCCTTTCCCCAACCCCCCCACCCCACGCCTCCCCCAAGAGGGACAACTTTGGTGAAATTAAGAGAACTGATTGAAGTGAGAAAGCCCTGACTGTAGGGAATGCTTAATACTGTAGCATTAAAAGTAGAAGGAACCTTAGAGATTGTCTAATTCACTATCTACCTCTTAATTATAAGTTATTAATAACTAACACCCAGAGAGGAGGTATAGTATCTTATAAACAGTAAGCAGCAGGACTAGTATTCAAACCCAGGGCTCTTTCCACTAGACCATGTTGCCATCCATGACTTCGATGTAATTCAATTCAACAAGCATTTATTAAGCACCTACTAGTAGCAGGCATTCACCTATGTGAGGAAATAGTCCCTGCCACGGCGGGGGGGGGGGGAGGGAGAGAGCCTTATTTTCTACTGGGTGAGGGAGAGTGGTAGGAGGAGGAAGTGGTATATTTAAGGTAAGTAAAAGTTAATAGAGTAAGGTAAGTAAATACAAGGTGGTTTAAGGATGGAGAAAGTGCTAACAACGGGTTTGAGGGTGCAGTACCCTTTGGGAAGGCTTTCCCAAGAAAGTGGCACCTGTGCTGAGCCTTGAATAAGGGTCTGGGGCAGCAGAGTTGAGGAGGGAGTGCTTTCCAGGGATGGAGGGGACAGTATCTTCTTCCAAGGCACTAAGACAGGAGATGGAACACCAAGCTTGAGGAACAGCTAGGAGGCGAGTTTGACTTGAGGGTAGGGTACATAAAAGGGACTAATATGAAATAAGTCTGAGGAGAGAGGCTGAAATAAGATTGTAGAAGTTCTTACATTCCAGACCGAGGAGTCTATAGTTTATCTGGGGGGATTCTAGGGAGCTCCAGAAGGATTTTAACTTGGAGAGTGATATGCTCATTCCTGTGCTTTGGATGGTTATTTTGGCAACTTTGTGGAGAAGGGAAAGATTGGAAGAAGGGGGACTAATTAGGAGGTTACTACAATAATCCAGGGGACAAGAAGGGATGGTGAAAGATGCTGAGGAGGTAGGATCAATAAGATTTGGCAACTGACTGGATAGGGTAGAGAAGGGATATTGAAGAGTCAAGTATGGTACTCCAAAGTTGTAGAATTAGAGAATGAAGGGAATAAATATTTATGAAGTACCTACTATGTGCCAGGCACTGTACTAAGCACTTTTTACAAATACCTCATTTGATCCTCATAACAACTCTGCAAGGTAGGAGCTATTATTGTTCCCATTTTACAGCTGAGGAAAGTGGGGCAAACAGAAGTTAAGTGACTTGCTCCAGGGTCACATAAGCTAGTAAGTTACTGTCGGACTTTAGGCACATTGAATTTCTCAAAAACACTCCACCTCCAGGCATTTTCACTGGCTATCTCCCAAGCTTGGAATTCTCTCTCTCCCTAACTTTAACTCCTGGCTTCTATCAAGTTCCAGATAAAATCCTTCTATGGGAATCCTTTTCTGATTCTTCCCTTAGTTTGATCACTTTTCCCTCTGTTGATTATCTCCAATTTATTTCTGTGTATAACTTGTTTATACACAGTGTATAACTGTGTATAACTTGTTTGTACATGGCTGTTTGTCTCTCCCATTAGACTGTAAGGTCCTGGAGAGCAGGGACTATCTTTTCCCTTTCTTTGTATTCCCAGAGATTAGCAAACTGTCTGGCATATAGTAGGTGCTTAATAAAAACTTTTTGACTGACTGGATCAAGGAATGGGGAAATTTCGAGGATTGTTAGATTTTGAGGGAAAGATATTGTCCAAGATAAGGGTTTAGGAAATGTTGAGTTTGAGATGTCTATGTTATATCCAGATGGGGATGTCCGAAAGGCAGTTGGTGATATGGAACTGGAGCTAAGATACTATTATTAGATATAGAGTATTAGGTAGAGAGATTTGGGAGTCATTTATAAAGAAGTGATAATTGAACACACAAGAGCAGTTATAATCAAGGGAGGGTGAAAAGAAGTGTTCTTAACTTTTTCTTGTGTTTCATGGACCCCTTTGGCAGTCTGGTGAAATCTACAGACTGCTTCTAGGAAAAACGTTTTCAAATGCATAAACCAAAATTACAAGATTACAAAGGAAGCCAATGATATTGAAATATAGTTATCAAAATGTTGATTAATAGAAGGCAGAGGAGGAGCTAGGAGAATTATAAGTAGAGAGGATAATTTTAGAGTCCAAGTTAATGGAGATGATATGAATTATGGGAAATGATGCGATCCAAGGTATGATCATCCTTGGAGGTAAATGAAATAGAGTGAAGATATAAGAGTTGAAGAAGCTGATTAACTGTCAGGCCAGGATGTTTGAGGAATCATTAATATGTATACTGAGGGCAGGGGAGGGAGTAGACAGGGAGTTGAATGCTAAACTCTTCAAGAAAGGAGGGAGAATGACCTGGAGGTCAGTAGATTGTAACAACAACAATACACACTGGGTGGTATAGATGGTTCAGATGGCAGGGGGAGTGACCCTCAAAGGAGGATGGGTGCTTAAGCGAAAGTGACAAAGGGAGAGCAGAGAAGTAACAGTGCAGAAGAAGCAGTCAGTATGCCTTTTCTGCCTCCTGTCCCAGTGTGTTGGTAAGCATGAAAGAAAGGGGCTGCAGAAAGCATGGCCAAGAATGTCACTAGTACCTGCCCTGAGGCATAACAGAAGGGCAAAGCAGAGAAGGAAAAAGACTGGGGAGGGGGAGGGCTGACCCAACAGTAATGATAGGGGAAGGAAGTTTTGATCTGGAAGATGGTGACCAAATCGCAAGACTTAAGGAAAGAGATGGGAGTAGCATAGAATGAGGCTCTCTGTCAAAACCCCCCATGCCCTGGGCCTCTGGGTGATGATTAGTTCTCGGATGGGAAGTAGGATGAGAGGGCAGAAGGCCAGCCTAGTTTGGGTATGGTCCCTAGTACCTAGTCCTTGTACCACCTTCTATCTTGTCTACCCTGAATAAAAGTGCACATCTCTACCTCCTATCTCCAAGGCTGCATACCAAAAATTTTTTTTAAAAATTGCCTAAAGGGCTCTGAAGAAATCCCTACTTAGGTGTAAAAGAAGAAAAAAAAGTCACAGACCCCAGGGCTTACCTCAACCTCACACTTAGCCCCAGCAATCCTCACTTGGCTGGTCAGCCTGTGAATCTACACAGTGACATGAGCCAATGGAGGTCTCAGAGGTGTGTGATGTTGTCTTAGGACAAGGATCTTCACTGCTGGAGGTTCTCTGCATCCTCAGTGCCTAGCACAGTGTCTAGCATAGAATAAATCTTTGTTGATTAACTGAAATCTTAAGTTTGCTTCACAGCTCCAGTGGCACTTCCTCTGTGAAGCCTTTCTTCCTGATCTCCCCAGCTACTAGTGCCCTCCCCAGTTACTTTGTGTGTTTACCTTGCCTATACTTTGTACTTATTTTTATGTCTATACCTTGACAGAATGTAAACTCCATGAGGCAGAAACCTTTTTCTTTTCCATTCTTTTTTTGGCTTTGTGTCCCCGGCACCTAGCATGGTCAGTGCCTGGCACATTAAGTCCTTAATAAAGGCCTGTAGATTGATTAATCAGGAATATTTGATTCCATTCTCTCACATACACATATATTATATATATTTCATATGTACTTATTTATATACTCTCATATGTATGTATGTGTATATGTACTCTCATGTATATGAAAGTATATATGTATATATAAGAGTAATATACATAATACTATATATGCATATATATGAGTATATGTGACCATAGGGAAGTCACTTCATCACTTAAAGCTGGACTGTTACTTCTGCCCCAAGCATCTCATAGCGTGTGCACATAAGGTGACATACAGCCCACCAGTGTCAGATTGTAATTATATTTTAGTATTCCTCATTATCTACCTCCAGGAAAAGGTACTAAAGAAATAGGAACTTCATCTTTAATTTTCTCATACTCTGTTATTGAGTAGTTTTTCCAGTTATGTCTAACTCTTTGTGGCCCCATTTGGGGTTTTCTTGGCAAAGATGCTGGCGTGGTTTGCTATTTTCTTCTCCAGCTCATTTTACATGTGGGGAAACTGAGGAAGCCAGGGTTAAGTGACTTGCCCAGGGTCACACAGCTAGTGAGTGACCGAGGCTGGATTTGAACTCAGGTTTTCCTGACTCCAGGGCCTGCACTCTATCCACTGTACCCTTAGCTTCCCCTAAGTGCAATTTAGGACATCCTAAAACCAGGATACTATTGAATTTAATGTCCACCAGGCATCTAGAAATCTGGGTCTGGAGATCATAGCATCCTGGCTTTAGAGCTAGAATGGACCTCAGGGTCCCCTTGGTTTACAAATGAGAAAACTGAAGTACACTGAAATTAAATGACTGGCCCAAGGTCACACAGGAAGTAGCAGAGCTGGGGGTTTGAACCCAGGTCCTCAAACTCCAAATCTGGTGCTCTTTTCATTATCCCCTTCTACCTCTTTTAGGCTTTTGGGAATCTTCCACCTACATGCTGTAGGATTGGAGAGTGCCAAGAGAAACTATAGAAAGAGAAGGGAAGGGCAGCTAGGTGGCACGGTGAATAGAGCACCGGCCCTGGATTCAGGAGGACCTGACTTCAAATCTGGCCTCAGACACATAACACTTACTAGTTGTGTGACCCTGGGCAAGTCACTTAACCTCATTGCCCAGACCAAAAAAAAAAAAAAAAGAGAAGGGGGCTGAGTGTAGAACCTTCAGCGACACCAAAACTTAAGAAGAAGAAGCAATGAAAGATACTGAGGAAAAGGAAAAGAACCAGGATCCTGCAGTACTATGGAAGGTGAGGAAGGATGGTACTTCAAGAAAGAGGACCAAATGCTTCAGAGGGGCCTCTCACAACTCTTATCCAAAAGGCTGGGTTGTAGTTATTTTGTTTTTGGCTGACCTAACACCCTTCTACAGCTGGAAGCCCTGGCTTCTCCTGCTCTGGCTTTGCACAGCTCTTCAGGGCTTGCTCAGGCAGGGAGAGAAACTGCAGAAAAAGATGGAGACTGGAAAATGTCAGGACAGCTGGTTGGGTCTTTAGAAGGGAAGGTGTCATTCCTCAAAGTAAGGAGGTGGAGAGGTAGGAGGAGAGGCTGAGTCATGAGGGAGGTGAGAAGAGCCACAGCAACATTAGACTGAGTCCCCAGGCTCAGGCTGAATTCCTGAGCCTCAGGGCTGTTTACAGACTGTCAGGAAAGGAAAATTGGACTTGTCAGCAAGCAAACAGAGGCCAGCAAGCCTCCTCTGAGGAACTCTAGCCCTCTGTGGAGGGTCCTGGGCATTCTGTGCAAAACCAAGATAACCAGACACACTCCCCAGGAACTCAGACATGGAAAGCAAAGAAAAATGAAGAGCAGCCTGACAGGGTTCCAGACAGCTTTGCTGGGGCCTGAGAGGACTGAACAAGACTAGAGCTCTGGGGAGGCTAGCCAAGTAAGGCTGTCTGGAGGAATTGGGGAGGATGCCCTGGATGGCAACCCAAGGTTTGGGCCAACACAAATAAAACTAATGGTTCACTCCATCAGCCCTGGGTTTTTCTCCTTTCTTTCCTCCCTGCCCCCATCTTATTAAAACACACACACACACACCCCATGATTAATGTCTACATGCTGCCCAGCATCCCCTTCCCCCCCTTATAGGCAGGCGAGGAGGTTTCTGCAGTCAAACTCACAGAAGTTTCTCTCCTGCTACCCAGTCTGTGATGGCCACATGCCTATTTCCCAAGGTTACATCCTCTCCCTAAACCTCTCCCAAGGCTTCTCCCATGGCCCCTTTCACCTTGCCCCGCTAACCAAATTGGATCAGAAAAGCCCAATTGGAGCTGACAGTCTGAGTCTTTCCCCAGACACAAATTGCCATAGCAACTCATGCAGAGGAGCCCTGAGAGCTAGGGCCAGGGAGATGACATTTCTCATTAGGCCTGATGCCTCATTTCCATGCAGCTCTGGTTATATGGGCCAAAGCTTATTTGCCAGGCTGGTCCAGCACAGGATGCTGCGCATGACAAGGGAACCATGCCAACCAGACATGCTGCTGGTCCCAGGGAGACCTCATTAGCTTGGAAGCACATGCAGGAGGGGAGTAACCCTTAGGGCACCTGTCCTTCCCTCCTCCACACACATAACATATCCCCAGGATGATATTTCTTCCAAACCTTGCTCTCTTAAGAAAGGTCAAACAGTTGGGATCAGGGGAGCATCTGCAATCTGGGTTTCAGTGGGAGAATCTTCCTAATTAGTCTAGCACTCTTGTGGGTGGTGGGGGCAGAGTTCTGGTTGCTTTGAAACTCTTGGGGGCAGATGGCTCTAGAGCAGGGAGCTACTCTTAACCTGGAGCCCATGACCTTTTAAAATATTTTTATAACTATGTTTCAATATAATCAGGTTCCTTTGCAATTTTTTTTTTTGCATTTTTGCAAAAAATTTGCAAATGTTGATTTTTTCATTTTTCCCATCCATTTTAAAAACATTCTTCTGAGAAGGGTTCCATAGGCTTCACAAGTCTGCCAAAAGCGTCCAGGACACAAAAAGGTTAAGAACCCTTGGCGTTGACAGATTTTTGTCATTTCTCAGTTGAGTGTTGTTGCATCCAATGTAGTTTACCACTGTTTTCTAGGGTAGCTCAGAGGTCCAGTCTGGAGCAGGATTGCCAATCTGTTCCCAAAATGAGTTACCTGCCTAGGGCTCTATCCTTGTGTCAGTTTTCCAAAGGAGGAGGGGGAGGAGGGGGTAATGACACCATACCCTGAAAGACGGAGGACACTGCAGGATTAAGTCCTAATTTCTGTCAGGTATTCCAAAGGACTTCCATAATCCATTCCCAATCTGCCTCTCCAAACGTGCTACTCTCCTACGTAAACTAACTCAGTGTGGTACAGTATAAAGAACAGTTCCTCTGGAGACAGAGAACCTGGGTTCAAGTCCTGCCCTCGACACTTAATTATAAAACCTTAATTATAAAACTTAATCTCTACCTGCCTCAGTTTCCTCAACTGTAAAATGGGGATCATAGTAGCATCTACCTCCCCAGGGAAGATCAAATGAGATGATATTTGTAAAGCACTTAGCACAGTGCCTGGTACATAGTAGGCACTCAATTAATGCCTGGTCCCTTCCCACCTAAGGCTCAGGGAAATGACTCGTTCAGGGTCACACAGTTAGTAAGTATCTGAGGCCAGATTTGAACTCAGGTCTTTGAACTTAGGTACCATATCCACTGCAGAGGTAGTCAGACCAGATGATAAACTTTGAAGTATCATCCCACTCTAAATTTATGATTCTGTCAACGCTGTGTTCTGGGCAAACTGGCCCATTCACTGAAGCCTGAACAGACAGTAAGAATTCCCATCTTAGCGCCTTTGATCTGCTGCCTGGAATATCCTTCCCAACCTCTTTTTCCTGGCCTACTCTTAAATCCCTGCTTCCTTCAGGAAGTCTTCCCTAACCCTGCTGCTCTCCCTTTTCTTCCTGTAAACTCCCATAACATGTAATATCATTTGGCACTAATCAAATATTTTCTTGTATTACTAGTTATCTTTTTCCGCATGTGATTTGTTTCCCCGGCAGTATTTTAAGCTCCTAAAGGGCAATCGCCCTATCAGGCACCTCTCCTTAATTACCCACAGTGCCTAGCAGAGGCGCTCAGTAAATACTTCTTGAATGATTAAGATTGTGGTGACGGCAGTTCTGTTTTCCTCCGTCACCCGACTGACGCCCCAACCCCACCCCAGCCCCAGCCCCAGTCCCCAGGAACTCCCAGAGGCTAAATTTACAGGAGAAAATTGTTTAGACAGTTCAGAAACAGTATAACCTCTGCATACCTTTATAACTGAAGCCAGCATGTATTTTTTTTTTTGCTAGGATTATCTGGATCCTTTGCCTGCATAGACTAGCTAGAATTACCCAACTGATCCAAACGCATTCCCCTCGTTTTACCCATTTGTTTCTTAGGGGGCTAGGATTTGTTTGGAAAATTAAGTGGGTTCACTTAAGGGGATCACCCCCAAAATTACTACCACTGTTCAATATTCTTTTTCACACCCAGGACCCCATGACCAGAGTTTCCTTTCCTAATTGGGTTTTCCCTTTCTTAAGGGGATGAAAATAATCCCAAGGAGTAAAGTCTAGCTTTGTTAACATCTAAGCGCTATAGAAACGTGATTTGTCGTAGTGAAAAGGCAGGTGAAGGAGGTTCCCAAGCCAATGTCTCTCTTCAACTGGCCACCACTCGGGGTAGGGAGACAACCTAAATCCCAGACACCTAGAATGCCCTGGGATGGAGGCTGAAAGATTTTAGGGGCTGTTGTACTTTTCCCTTTACCTTTGGGAGGCAGCATGGTATAGTGGAAGGAGTATTAGATTTGGACCAGGCAGATTTGGTTTCAAATCCTGGCTCTGACCCTTATTACCCCTGTGACCTTGGACCAGTCATTTACTCTCTGGGCCTCAGTTTCCCTAATAGTAAAATGAGACATGACCACTAAAGTCCATTTTATCTCTTAGCCTATGAGGCTGTGACAATGAATTCAATACAATGATTGTTATTTGGTATGCTCTTTTTATTAGGTGTTTTATAAGATTTGTGCTATAAAACTGTAATCAATCTTAACTATCTGAATAAAATATGAGCTAATGAAACTATCTGTAAATGTCATTTTATGAAAAACATGGAAGAAGCATGGCCATTTTGATTATAACAAAGATGGACAATGCTCCATAAAAAATTAGTAAAAGTTAATTAATAATAATAATTAATAAAAACTTCTCTAAGGTCCTCTTCTAGCTCTAAGCTTAGGATTCTATATTATTAGTGTTGCTGAGTCTCAAATTTCTGCCATCAGAACCTCTGGGGGCTTTGATTGGTTTAGTCCTCTCTGAGATGGAGAGGGTCCAGGCCCTCTCCAATGGCACTGGAGACCATGGAACACTTCAGAGGATATTTGTGTATGGGTCCTCATCAGAAGTCTGGTTGTCTGTGCCTGATACCTCTTAGCTAGCAAGAGACAGTTTGGGAGTTTCTGGGGGATCAAGGTCTCTATGTCTAGATTCCCTGGGAAATGGTTTCCTGACCCAATCCAGGAGAAGGCCCACTTGCTGTACTCACTAGGATGCCCAGTACCAGGCCGGGTTGCTCTGAACATACATCTTGACTGGTTCACTGCAGGAGAGAGAGAGAAAGAGAGAGACAGAAAGAGATTAGATATGTGTTTTATTTCTTTTTCCCTGTCCTAAGCCCCATGAAAACACAAGCATTTATAAAGATCTCTAGATGATATTCTCAAACCTGGCTCTCCTCTATGAGGAGGGCTGCTGTCTGAGATGCCTAGTGTGAGGATGGGTCAGAAAACCGGAGTCCTGGGCCAGGATCATGCATTTAGGCAATTCTGGGGCCAGAAGAGATCCTGCTCACTTTTTCCTCTCAGACCTTTCCCCTTGGACCTCCAAAACACCCAGGTCCCTCCCTTTGGTACTAAACTTGGAGGACATACACAGAGTTCCTCCCCAGAGTGAAACAGAGCCAGTTATATATTTTAGGCCTGTCACATGATTTCTTGTACATCTACCATCTAATCTCTTCAAGGAGGCTGCTAGGTAGCACAGTGAGTAGAGTGCAGGATTTGGAGTCAGAAAGACCCAAGTTCAAATACTGCCTCTGACATTTACTAGCTGTGTGATCCAGGGCAAGTCAATTCATTTCTTACAGCCTCGGACAATAACAGCATCTTCCTTACAGGGTTGCTATTATGAGGGCCAAATGAGATAATATATGCAAACCTTAAAGCACTATATAAATGCTAGTAGCTATTATAATCATTCAAGATCCAATGTACTTCACTGCCTTGTGCATTAGCTTAACAAGCCTATGTGCCTGCTCTAGTTTGCCTACCAGCAAACATGAGGAATCTTACTTCTTCCCCTGAAGGGGAAAGAAAGGCTGAACCCACAGGCCACACTCACCAGAAGGTGAAGAGAGCCACAACACCCACAGTCATCAGCAGCTGAATCATTAGGATGGAGTAGACCTATGAGGAACAAAGGTAGAAGGAAGAAGAGGTAGTCAGCAATAAGAAATGAGCTATTTAGGACCTGGCAAGCCTAGGCCCATCCACATGGGTTGTAGATGGGAGTCTAGTTTTCCATGCAGTCTTATGAACAAGTGACCCAAGCCAAGGCCTGAGTAGCTGGACTAGCTAAATTCTTACTCTTCTGGGATACAGTGGAAAGGGGTAAAGATGGGGCCCATCATAGGAAGCAAAAAGCAACCAAATGGAGGGGTTAAAAAGTGAGGCCCACTGGTAAAAGGCTGAAGGGGCTGATCCAGCTTGGAGAAAGGAGGATGGCCCACAGAACATTAAATATCTAGATTTTCCCTAATGATGTGGATAGGGTTATGGGGAAAGGGACTACTTACCTTCCTGACAAATACTCTTCTCACGTTAGGATCATCCCAGCTGAAAGTGGTGAAGATCTCAGGGTCTCCGGAGTAGCCGCCACTTCCATAGCCAGGGCTGCTATCTGTAGAGAAGGGCATCAGATCATGGAGCACAGTTGGGCTTTGTCCTTATTTCCCATGCTTCTCCATCAGCCCTATCCCTGAACTTTCAAACAGACTATTCATCCTGCTCTTTGGAAACCCTTTTCCCTTTCTCCCTCATTTATACGTTATTCCATGAACCCCTCTTTAAGAACTTTTCCCTGATTTCAACATCATTCCGCAGATTCTAGAGTTCCTTCCCCTCAGCGCTGATGTCCAGAGCTCTGCTTTACAACTGCTCGATCAGTCCTTGTCTCTGTGTTCTGTGTCCTTGGTACACCCTACCTCCCCCAATAGACTTTGACCCATCACATCTATTCAGGTGGTTCCCAAATCTATAGCCCTGATCTCACTCTTGAAGTTAGATCAACAAACATTTATTAAGCAGCTACTATGTGCCAGACCTATATCTTCCACAACCTTTTTTTTTTTTTGATTAGGCAATGGGGTTAAGTGACTTGCCCAGGGTCACACAGCTTGTAAGTATCTGAGGCCAGATTTGAATTAAGGAAGAGGAGTCTTCCTGACTCTAGGCCCAGCGCTCTATCCACTGTGCCCCTTAGCTGCCCTAATTGTTATTAAGTTCGGTCAATTCTGTTGGCTTTCATACTACCACCCACAATGACTACTGCAATAGTCTACTGAAAAGTCTTTCTGCCTCTACGTTCTCTCTTGACTAAATCCATCCTTCCTAATATGGCCAGATGTATCCTTTTTTGTGCCCAGCATGCACACAGTAGGCATAATTATGATTGCTGATTGATTAATCTGTTCATGTTACTCTTCTGCTCAAAAATGGTTTCCCACTGTTATACAATAAAAGTTCAAACTCTTAGTTTAGTTTCTAGGCTTTCCAGCCTGGCTCCCATCTTTTCCTTCTGTGTTACTGTGCACTCCAGCCAGAGGGAACATCCATCCCTGTAGACCCTGTGCATTTTCCCATTTCAAGGCCTTTATCCTCATTTTCCATATGCCTGGAATGCCCTTCCTCTTTTCACCAACTCAAGTGCCAACGATGTCTTCCTCAATCCTGAGAGTCAATAACGAATAACCTTCCCCACCTTGGACCTAAGATATCACTTTCTTTGCATTTCCGTATCATTTTAGTTGTTTGTATATGGGTTATGTCTTCCTAATAGACTACAAGCTCCATGAGGGCAGGAACCTTGCGAATCTAAATTTTGCAAACTTCCTGTGATTTAGTTAGGCCTCAGCGAGGAAGAATGCCAGAGGTGAACGAACACCACATCCTGACCTCAGAATTACCTTGATTCCCCTTGCGAAATTCAAGACTAAAAGGATCTTCTAGTGGGTTTATCAGAAAAAGATAATGCCTAGAGTATGGTCAAGGTCACAGGTTAACTAGCGTGGTGGGGTACGATCAACTCAGGGATTGAGTGATTTTCAAATATGGGCAGCATTCTTTCCAAGCCCCAGAAGGTCCACAGATAGCTTTTTTCAAAAATTTTTTTTTTAATTTAAAATTTTAAAATTTTATTTTTAAATCTTTTTTTTTACAAGACAGCTTTTTAAATGCCCCCCAAGTCAAGTAGCTGTGGGGCCTGGAAAGGGCAAGTAACCTTGCTGGTCTAATGGTTCAGAAGGAGGTGGGCTAGCTTTCTGGCCTTCTGCCTTGCCCTTTCTTCAAGGGTGGATGGCTGATGCTGCTCTCCCTGTAATGCTCTTGGGGACATCCTGAAATAGCAGGGCTTGAAGGTGGGTCTGGAGGAACTCCCTGTTACCCTTTTAGGCAATTCTGGAATCTTTAGAAACTTTAACTTCTAAGCCTCTCTACTGTCCTCTCTTTCCTCTCCAGCATTGAATAGAATCGGAAACCTATATTCCTCACTCATAGATGAGGAAGGGACTACTTTTTATACCCATTCTTCTGTACTTAAGCCCAGACAGAAGCTGGACCTGGAGTCAGGAAGATCTGGATTCAAATCCAACATCAGACACTTACTAGCTTTGTGACTGTGGGCAAGTCACTCAACCTCTGTCTGCCTTGGTTTCTTTAACTATAAAATAGGGATCATAATAGCACCTACCTCCCAGGGTTGTTGTGAGGATAAAGTGAGGTAATATTTTGTGAAAATTTGTGAAAAGCTTAGCACAGTGCCTGGAACATAGTAAGCATTTAATAAATGCTTGTTTACTTCCTTCTCCTTTCTCCCAAATCCTATTTCTCCCCTTAACCCCCAACTCCCTTAGTTAAGACTGGTGATGAGGATGGGAATGGTCACAGAAAGTAGAGGAGGTGGGGAGGAGGAGAAAGAGTTGGCAACAGTTCTAGCGTCTCCATGGTGTCTTTTATGCAGACAGATCCTGTGGATTGGATTGACCCATACAGAGGCCTAGGCCCCAGTTTTCCCTAACACTGAGCTGAGGACAAGAGGAGTCTTAGGGAACCTGTAGGTACTTTCTGAGTCCCTTTCTCTCTATTTCATGGGTCTGGGGCTAAAGTTGTGGGCAGGAAAGAATAAGGTAAGAATCTGGAAGGAGAGCAGGGCACAGGAGAGTATGACAAAAGGGAAAAAGAACCCAGGGTAGAGATTGGTTCTGGGCGGCAGAACCCATCAAATTCAGAATATTGAGGCTGGAGAAATACCAAGACTTCTGTCTATCCCAGTGAAATTCCCTTTCTAGGAAACAAGATAGAGCTGGATATGGGGAATTCAAAAGAAAATGAAGACATTAAGAGATGTCACCAGCAAATAGTTTAGAGGACGCTATTCGTAGGCCGTTTCCCTGTGCCATCTAATCTAGATATTCAACTCCTATGATTCCCTGGTTCTGCATTTCCCCTCCAACCATTCAAAATCCCAGGCACATACCCACACCTCAGCCATTGCCACCTCTGAATCTTCACAAGCCATTACCCTTACCTACAATGGCTTCTTCTCTCTTTTGGACTCATCATCCCCAGAATTGTAGGATGCTTTCCTCCTTTGAAAACCTTCCCTTCTCCCTCTTTCCTCTTCCCTCCCCCCTCCCCACTTTGGATAGAGATTCAAAAACCCAATCAGTAATTCCTAGTCTGGTCTTTAGTTCTGTCTATCTGTCCTGCCCTTCTGATCAGTCTTCCTAAGACCAGAAACAGTATGTCCCCACCTTCTTCCAATTACCCTAAAACTTAGGAACTGGGGTGGACTAACTGGTGTCATTACAACAATACAGGAGATTGCTTCTATACTACTGCTTTCTAAGTTTTTCACTGGGTCTCACCACACCCCCAAAAGTCTAACCTACCAGGGTTGGGGAGACTCACTTGGGTCCACGTAAGCCCAGCTAGGATGAAAGGGCACAGTTGGGGCTGGTGGAGGGAAGGCCCCAGCCTTCAGCCCCTCCCCTGAAGTAGCTTCCTCATAAGTAGGAGGGGCCAAGGGAGCTGATGGAGTCTCCTTCTTCTCTCCATTTGTCGGTTGCTGCCCCTCGGTCCCAGGGGCCTTGTTCACCACTGAAACCTGTGGAAAATGAGCAGAGAGTCAGTCATTAAGGAGAAAAGGAGAACCATGCCTTCACTCACACACACACATACACACACACACATACACACACACACACACAGAGCTTATGTTACTTAGTTCCCTGGGGAATGAGGAGGGAAAGCAAATCATTTTCTTTTTCTATTTCTTTTTTTAAAATAGTATTTTATTTTTCCCCAGTTACATGTCAAGAAAAATTTTAACATTCATTTTTACAAGATTTTGAGTTTCAAATTTTTCTTCCTCCTTCCCCTCTTCCAAAAATGGTAGACAGTTCAATGTAGTACATACGTGTGTTATCATGCAAAAATATTTTCATATTAGTCACAGTTGTGAAAGAAGAAACAGGTCAAAAGGAAAAACAAAGCCACAAGAAAGAATAAAGTACATGAAAAAAATATGCTTTGATATGCACTCAGAGTCCAATCAGTTCTTCATCTGGATATGAATAGCATTTTCCTTCTTAAGTCCTTTGCACTTGTCTTGGTCGTTGTGTTGCAATGTTTTCCCAGTTCTGTTCATTACACTTTGAGTCAGTTTGTACAAGTCTTTCCAGGTTTTTCTGAAATCTGTTTGTTCATCATTTCTTATAGCACAATAGTATACCATTACGTTCATAAACCACAGCTTGTTCAGCCATTCCCCAGTTGATGGGCATCCCCTCAATTTCCGATATTTTGCCACTACAAAAAGGACTACTATAAATATTTTTGCAGAGGTAGGTCCTTCCCTCCCCCCCTTTTTTTTTTGATGTCTTTAGGATACAGACCTAGGTATTGCTAAATCAAAGGGTATGCACAGTTCAGTGGCCCTTTGGACATAGTTCCAAATTGCTCTCCAGAATGGTTGGATCAGTTCACAATTCCACCAACAATGCATTAGTGTCCCAGTTTTCCCATATCTTCTCCAGCATTTAGCCTTTTCCTTTTCTGTCATAGTAGCCAATCTGATAGGTGTGAGGTGGTACCTCAGAGTTGTTTTAATTTGTTTTTCTCTAATCAAAAATGATTTAGAGCACTTCTTCATATGCCTATCAATAGCCTTGATTCCTTCATCTGAAAACTACCTATTCATATTCTTTAACTATTTGTAAATTAGGGAATGGCTTGTATTCTTGTAAAGTTGATTCAGTTCTCCATGTATTTTAGAAATGAGGCCTTATCAGACACACCTGCTGTAAAGATTGTTTCCCATCTTTCTGCTTTCTTTCTAATCTTGGTTGCATTGGTTTTGTTTGTACAAAAACTTTTTGAGTTAATATAATGAAAAATTTCTGTTATGTTTTATAATGTTCTCTATCTCATTTGGTCATGAATTCTTCCCCTCCCCATAGATTTGACAGGTAGACTATTCCTTGCTCTTCTAATTTGCTTACAGCATCACCCTTTATGTCTAAATCGTGCCAAAGGTCTGTCATATCTAACTTTTCTAATATTCTATTTACCTCCTTAGTTTTTTTCCTGTTTATTTTTTGGTTGGATTTATTGAGTTCTGAGAGGGGACAATTGAGGCCTCCACACTAGTACAGTTTTGCTCTCTATTTCTCCCTGTAACTCATTTAACTTCTCCTGTAAGAATCTGGATGCTATACTACTTGGTACACATATGTTTAGTATTGATATTGCTTCATTGTCTATGGTACCTTTTAGCAAGATGTAATTTCCTTCCTTATTTCTTTTAATTAGGTCCATTTTGGTCTACTAATTAGGTCCATTTTATTTTGTCTGAGATCAGGATTGCTATCCCTGCTTTTTTTACCTCAGCTGAAGCATAATAGATTTTACTCCCTGCTTACCTTTACTCTGTGTCTCTCTGCTTCAAGTATGTTTCTCGTAAACAACATATTAAAGGATTCTCTCTTTTGATCCCTTTGTTCTCTGCTTCCATTTTATGGGAGAGTTCATCCTATCCACATTACAGTTATGATTACTACCTGTGTATTTCCCTCCATCTTATTCTTCCTCCTGTCTATCTTCTCTCTCCTTTCACCCTTTCTCTCCTCACCGGTGTTTTGCTTCTGTCTACCACCTCCCCTGATCTGCCCTCCCTTCTGTCAAGCCCCTCTCCAACCCCTTTACTTGATCTCCTCCCCTCCTACTTCTCTGTTGGGTAAGATAGATTTCTATATTCCACTGATTGTACATATGATTCTCTCTTTCAGCCAATACTGATGAGTGTAAGGTTCAAGCAATGCTCATCGCCCACCCTCCCATCTTCCCCTCCACTGTAATAGGTCTTTCATGCCTCTTCATGTGAAATAATTTCCCCCATTCTACCTCTCCTTTCCTTCTGCACCCATTGTACTCCTCTTTCTCATCCCTTAATTTTATGCAATTCTCTCATATTCACCTTATACCCATATCATCTTTATACATTTCTCCTAGCTATACTATTAGTGATACAATTTTTAAGAATTATAAGTATCATCTTCCCATGTAGGAATATAAATAGTTTAGCTCTACTGAATCCCTTATGTTTTCTTTTCCCTTTTTACCTGTTTATTCTTCTCTTGCGTCTTGATAATGGAGATCAAATTTTTGGTTTAGTTCTGGTCTTCTCCTCATGAAAGTTTGAAGTCCTTCTATTTTATTGAATGTCCATTTCCCCCCTCAGTGTGTGATGCTTAATTCTGCCAGGTAAGCAATTCTTGGTTGTAGTCCTAGCTCTTTTGTCTTCTGGAATATCATGTTCCATGACCTTTGATCCTTTGATGTTGCAGCTGCCAAGTTCCATGTAATACTGATTGTGACTCCCCAATATTTGAATTGTTTCTTTCTGGCCACTTGTAGCATTTTTGCCTTGACTTGATAGTTCTGAAATTTGGCTACAATGGTCCTTGAAGTTTTTATTTTGGGATCTCTTTTCCAAGGTGATTGGTAGATTGTTTCAATGCCTATTTTGCTCTCTGGTTCCAGAACATCAGGGAAGTTTTCCTTGATAATTTCTTGAAAGATGCTGTCCAGACCCTCTTTTTGATTATGGCTTTCAAGTAGGCCAATATTTGTGATATCATCTCTCGTGGATCTATTTTCCAGGTCAGTTGTTTTCCCCATGAGATATTTTACATTTTTGTCCATTTTTTCATTCTTTTGAATTTGTTTGATTGATTTTTGATGCCTCATAGAGTCATTAGCTTCCACTTGCCCAATTCTAATTTTCAAGGAGTTGTTTTCTTCAGTGGATTTTTCTATCTCCTTTTCCATTTGGCAAATTGTACTTTTTAAGAAGTTTTCTAAGTTGTTGACTCTTTTTTCATAACTCTCTTGCATCACTCTCATTTGTTCCATGAGTTCTTTCTGGGCTTGAGACCACTTCCTATTTTTCTTTGGGGCTTTGCCCATAGGCATTTTGATATTGTTGTCCTCTTCTGAGTTTATGTCATGGTCTTCCCTGGCAGCATAATAACTTTCTATGGTCAGATTCTTTTTTGGTTTCTTCCTTCCTTCCTTCCTTCCTTCCTTCCTTCCTTCCTTCCTTCCTTCCTTCCTTCTTTCTCTTTCTTCTTTTTCCTTTTCTTTTGAATTGGAGCTCTGCACCCAGGGTGGAAGGGGCTCTCTGCTGCAGGCCCTGGCTGTTTACCTGGTGTTGTGCTGATGTTGCCCTGGGGCTACCAGAGGATTCTTGTGTCTGGCGTTGTGCTGAGGGGATGCGGTAGGAGGTACCTGGCGCTGCTGGGGGCCGTTGAGGTTTGGCAGCTTAACTGGTCTGAGCTAGGGTCCTAGTGGTGGTGTCTGGTGTGTGCTGAGGTCCATTGGGGTGTTTCTGCATTTCCCTGGGGCTACACTGAAGCATGTGGAGGTCTGGCCTACTTTCTCATCACACTGGAGGATGCCTGTTTGTCCAGTGCCTGAAGCACATGGTGGTTCTTGGAACTAGAGTCTGCTGATTTCCCTGGCTATGCTAAGGCATGTGGGAGGTTCTGGTGTTGATGCTTGCCTGCTCCACCCATATTGGGGCTCAGGATCTCCTGCTGGTTTGCTGAGATGGGGCTTGCTGCTGCTTTTCTGGGATGCTTCCTGTCCTGAAATGTGCTCACCTTTTACTCAAGTGAGATAGGTCTTTGTTGTCAATCTTCCAAGTGTTTTGGGCTAAAATATTGTTTCACCCCATCTTTTTGAAGGCTCTGCTATTCCAGGATTTGTTTGGGACCAGTATTTTATGGTTGTTTGGGGGTGAATATGAGAGAGTTACAGTGATTTACTGCTTACTCCACCATCTTGGCTCTCAGAAGTCTGTCTTTTTTCATACTGGATCTGACCATATAGTAAGACCTAGAAAGGAACCTACAGATTAACTAAGTCCATCATGTCCTAATTTTACAGATGAGAAAATAGAGGCCTAGAGATGTTAGGTGATTTGAGCAAAGTCACACATGTTGCAGAGACAGGATTCAAAACAGGTTGTTCTTTTGACTCCGAATCTAATGGTCTTTCCAATTTTATAGATGGATAAATAGAATCCAAAGGGGCTGTGAACTGGGGGGATAAGAAAAGAAGGAAAAAGAGGGGGAGGAAAAAAAGGAAGAGGACAGGCAGTGAAAAAGAGAGAGGAAAGATGATAGATTAGATTAATGAGTTCCCTGTCATTTCAGCTTTAGCAGAAGATGAAAGACCACATGTTAGGATGTTGGACAGAGTAGACATCCTTCAGGTATGGGTTGGGCCTGAGGTTCCTTCCAATTCTGAGATTCTAGGATTCAACAATGGGAGGAAGGAAAATGAAAGGAACAGGGAGAATGAAGAATACAGGAGAAGATGGGAAGAGAAGAAGAAAGAACAAAGGAAAAGAACAGGAAAGCTACATCATAGAAGCTGAGAGCTAGAGAAAACTGAGGCCTAGGTAAGTTACATGATTTGCCCATAGTCACTACAGTAGTAATCAGGACTTGATTCCTCAGTTTCCTCTAGCTCTCTGCTTCCATGATCTAGCTTTCCTGGCCAAGCTCCCCTCCCTCTTCAGGAGAGATAAAATCCACCTGT